GGCAAATGGAAGGGGATGCTGGACGAAAGTGGCGGAAGTAAAGCGTAGGGGCTGAGCGGAAGAGAATCTCCGGCTCCATTCGACGCCATCGAGCCCGAGCAAAAAAGATCCTGCGACCTGTGACGGGCAGACGTCATATGAGGAGCTTGGTTTGGTCTAGCCTTGTCTACGGTGAGGTTTACTGTCTCTTCTACCATCTATCATGACTCTTATTGGTCTACAGTCATATTTGCATCGACGATGGCTCCTATTTAACTACAGTGATTTGGAGTTCGTATATGTGATATTATTGAATATATGTATTGAATATTCTCCGTATTTCCGCTAATTGGTTAATGTACCTGCATTAGAAATTAATTAAAAAGCTATTACAACCTATAATTTCTGATAATGCGTAATAATAAACTTTAGTTGTATTACAGGGTGGGGCAGAGGAACATGCTTATTTGAACTAGCCTTCCTGAAGTGTGATTTGCTACGATAACTTTTAGGAAGGGCTTAATCAAGAGCGCAAGCTGTAAAGTTTTGTTTATACGATGATCCGCATTAATTACTTTATTTTTTCTTTTCAGTAGTCATGGAATGGACGAACGTAGAACGTGCTTTCGTGGTTGAGGCATATTTTTCCTGTGGTAAATCAATCATCGCCACACAGCGTACATTTCATCGGCACTTCCATGTTGCACCTGAAGGCCGTGTTCCAGGACGACAGTCAATCCTTTCGTGGGTGAAGAACTTCAGGGAATCTGAAGATGTGAAGAACAAGAAGCCTGGGCCTATACTTTAAAAAAAGTTAAGAGATCGTAAGTTCATCTGCCAATGATTGACGGCCTTTCAAGCGAAATCCGCCAATCATAGACAAGAAAATAGAGCGTAAGTACTTGCGTTTACTCAGCGAATTTTGAAAGTTTGGCCCCTGGTCTCCAAAGAACTGCAAGATCACCACAGAACATCGAAGCGGTGCTGCAATTCATCTTGAGGTCTCCCCGATGATCTTCTCGCAAGCATGCATCAGCCTTTGGGTTATCAGCTCGTTCTGTTAGACGGATTCTTCATGAAGAATTGAAGTTCCATCGCTACAAGATTTCTGTCGCCCAGGAACTGATTCCTCGGGACTTCGATGATTGTGAGTCTGCGTGAGATGCTGGAAAGAGTCGACACCAATTTCCGGACACGACTGACACTGTATTGACAACAACGGAAGTCATTAGCCTGATATCATTTTTAAAGTGACAAATTGTAAAATTTAATTGTTCTTGATTATGCTATTACAAATAATGTTCTTGATTATGCTATTGCAAATAATGTTCTTGATTATGCTATTACAAATATTACATTGATTATGCTATTCAATACTTTCGTTATAATATATGTTTCGAATAAGCATGTTTCTCTTTCCCGCCCTGTATTTGAAAGCAGGGTGGCTAAAACAAAAAGCAAATTAAATTTTAAAAATAACGAGACGCTTAAATTAATCAAATAGTGCTTCAAATGCGATGTCTGTTTGTTCTGAATTATTTGTCAGGAATGGCAAAATAGGTCATAATTATTTGCCTAGAATTATTTTACAATATACGTCCAACGAAATAAAAATATCCCCTTCTCACACATTATATTCGTCTCCTACAGAAGAGATGACAAAAGTTGGAAATAATTAATTAAATTTAGAAATACTCGTACGTTTACCTCTGGAAATGTAATATATACAAGGACGATTTCATATGAAAGTTCAAGTTTCCCTCGATTTTATTTGAGTTCAGACGAGAAATCTTTCATTTTGAAGTGGCTAGGAATTTCACTTTCGATGTGTCTAAGAAGATGGCGTGTGTATTTTAATAAATTTGGAATTAATTGGACTACACTTTTTGGATCTACGTATGGTAATTAAATTTCATTTTAATGATCCAGCTGAGATAAGTTTGAATCAAATACTCTCTCGAATAAATTTACGATTGGGTGAACCTTTTTGGATGCACTCCGTTTCACCTTGGTTGCACTTGCATGAGGTTACGGACGGCCCATATGGCACCTGGTAAATAGAAAGATTGGTATTTTAGCGAAAAATTTGTGAGCGTCGTGGCACAATAAAAGCACCGCCTTAGGGCGCTCTTCAATTCTCGACGCCACTACGGCTTTTAGCGCCGACACAATGGGAAGAGTTGGGGTTCTCAGGGTTCTGGGGAAGAGGTGGGGCTCCGAGGGTTCAGGGGAAGAGGTGGGGCTCTGAGGGTTCAGGGGAAGAGTTGGGGCTCTGAGGGTTCAGGGGAAGAGTTGGGGCTCTGAGGGTTCTGGGGAAGAGTTGGGGACTCAAAGGGTTCGGACGGAGAGGTGGGGTTCTCAGGGTTCAGGTGAAGAGGTGGGGCTCTGACGGTTAAGGGGAAGAGTTGGGGACTCAAAGGGTTCCGATGGAGGGGTGGGGTTCTCAGAGTTCAGGGGAAGAGTTGGGGCATGAGGGTTAAGGGCGGGCAAGAGTTGGGAACTCAGAGGGTTCGGGCGGAGAGTTGGGACCCTGAGGGTTCAAGGGAAGTTGGGGACTCTGAGGATTCTGGGGAAGAGTTAGGGACTCGGTGGATTCTGGGGAAGAGTTGGTGACTACGAGGGTTCAAATTCAGGAAAAGTTGCGCTGATTCCGTGATATGATGGGCGTATTTTGGGACGGGGAAGAAAAAGAGAACAGGGGAATTAAATGGGAGATGGTTAGCAAAAGTAGTCGAGGTTAAGAGTGATAACATCAAATGAACTAATTATGGGAAGGAGGTTAAAATCAAGCGCAAACCTTCTAAATCATATGAAAAGTATTCAAGAATATCAATGAAGTTTGTGCGGTTATTGAATAACTTATATCATTATGTGCTGCAACAACGGCACGGTACGAATTGAGAGAGAGGTGAGAAGGCTAGCTAACGTCTCCGTTGACGTCTTCTTATGAGACGTCGATAATATGTGACGATATAATTTTTTACCCAAAATCCGTCAGAATTTATCCATGATAAACTCAGATAAAAAGTACATTATGGTGAAAATAATAATGAAAACTCTAAACAAACAAGGTAATAAAACTAAAGAAATATTCGATGTTTTTGAGTCAGCTACAATATTGAAGTGATTAGTTAAGCAATGGGATAAAAATAGCACGAAGCGTATCAATGGCTGCACCGGAAGAGAGGTGCAGTAAAACATAGCGTACTCCGGGCATCTCCACGCAGCAATTCATGAGCAAATAAGCCGTGTATATACTTATTCCTTACTTGAATGATTATAACCGGCGAATGCTTATTACCTATTTTTAAATTGATTTTTCTTCTATTCTAAATCTCGAGACGAGTGAAATATGTATGGCATGTTTTAGAGGGAAACCATGGCCGTATTTTTAATTATAACTTTTTGAATGAATGCAGACTGATTTTGAAGCTTAGTAAGCTTTTTTCTAGTACCTCTATTTGAATTTAAATTTGAATCGTCACAGAGAAAAAGTCTCACATTTACTTTTTTAGTGGGCTGGCAGCGTGTAACGGGCATAATGTAAACTTTAAAGTTATTTCTTACGTCAGTTTATAAGTAATTAACAAATTAAAAAAATCATATAGAGAAGGAATGCTGGTCATTTTCAGGCTTCTCTACATGAGAAGGCTGTTAGTGTGAGGTTTTTGTTGAGGCGTTTATAGACATCATTTAATAGACGTGCAACAATGTCAGTATGGCTCCGGAGAATGTGGTGCGTTAATGAAAGTCAAACGAAGCGAATTTCTAATTTTAATTGATTTTTGAAATGGACTGATGATCCAAATATCTTAAACCGATGTTTAGTAGTTTGTAGTAACCAAACTATCGCATTTGTCTTTATTTGTCCCCCACAGATCACCTCATTGATTTTTTTTCCTAATTTTTAAATAACCTCTTCGGAAAAAATCGAATGGAGCTAAATCCGATGAGCGCGTCCCCTATTAAGTTAGGCCATCTTGCCTACGGCCTCAGCGGCGAGCGAAGGTCCAAACCCAAAAACCGAAATATTATTTATATGATATCGCTGCATAGGTTGACAATGAGCTTGATCTATAGAAACGCAATAACACATTTGCTTTTCATAGAAATACGAGTGAGGCGCGTTCAAACCGAGCATGGAATATTTGGCACTGTTTGGAATGTTCGATGATGTTCAATTGAACTTTACATCAGTGTCCAGTTGAACGCAGCACCAAATGTCACATGAAATGGACGCCTAATGTCCAGTTGAACGCAGCACCAAATGTTCAGATGAAATCGCATAATCAGATCAGATTAACGCCTAACTGAACTTTACACCAAATGCCCAGTTGAACTTAGCACCTAATGTTCAATTGAACTTATTATCGTTATTGCCTAATTAACAGTAAAACGTTGCATATAATGTTAAGTTGTTTGAATTATTTAGAATTTTTATTCCATTTTTACACTTTAAATATTTTTCATGAAATACTTAGTTTCAAATAAAAGTACATTGTAGGAGGCGCTGTGCAGCAGGCTATACAACCAGATATGTAAGAGCACAGTTGTACACGGTAGCAAGTGTTCAGTCTTATATTTGTTATTTATACGCTAGAAATTCGGTAACAAGTGTTCAAAACCTTTTTTTTATTTAAACGCTAGAAAATATCGAAGAATTGTTCGATTCAGTTCTATGTCCGTAACAATGAGCTAAGTGCTGCAGGTGTGCTGGTATGTGAGAGTTCAGTTCACTCTTGACTGACGTGGTGAGTGCAACAGGGATTGTAAATCTACGTTCTCACAGCAGGAGCAGCAAATGTGCAGCGTGAAGCGACCAGTTCATTTTGCACTGAACTGATGATGTGGGCGTTCAGTTCAGTCTGCACTGACCTAGTGATTGCATGGGTCACTCTATATGCACTTAAAGCTAAACTCTTCATGGTCGCAATTACTTATACATAAAATCACGTGCGAGGAAAATAATTGTTGTGATACATATCGGAATTATCATTACTTTGCAATGTTGCATTGAATTTAACAGCACAAATAATGGAGATTTTGATCAAAATTGAACATACATGAAAGTCCGATAAATAAAATTCCCATAATTTAATGAAGATCCGTTCAAAATTTTGCTTACGTGAATTTGTTGTACATCGTTTTGATGGGACAAAAGTTTTGTGTCGAAAATTTCATAAATTCTCGCTCGCACAAATTTTCCGGCATCCCTGAACATGTGGAAATGGAAACTGGTTCGTAGCAACTATTATTAAGGAATTTCCAAACATTAAATCACTGTGTGTTTTGAATTTTCATTTATGTTTACGTCCTCGACAATTAACTCGTACAAAAATATAGTGAAATTACCGGCTTAACTCATAGTGATTCATTGCTGACCTGCATATATTAAATATTATTTTATTATTTTCAGGATAATTAAAACTTTGGATTGATCATGTGCCCAAAAAGCAAGACATTTGGTTATGGAAAAGAAGATATTACAAGTCATGCATTGCAGAAACTACCACCCTTCGCTAATTTTTTTTGTGAGCTTCTTTTGCTTCACGTGTTTGATGTGAGTTAAGCTATAAACGTCCCATTTTTTTTCTTTTTAAATTTCACATAATGAATTATCTGTTCTTTAGAATTATTGTAAATGGAGAAGAATTTTGAATCTGAATCATTTTAATTGTGAGATCTTTTTCGGCTTCGAATAATTTGTTTGGTTTTAGTTGAACCAATTTAAAAGAGAACTTATATTTAAGATGATAATTATTTGTTACTTAGTTGTAGCCTTCCCATATCATTAATCATTCAAAAAATAACTATAGCAATATTTCAATTAAAAAATTCAATTATTAAAATTTCAGATAGTAAGAGTTTCCTCAGAAAAAGACATGCTATGAAGTTGCTATATGAAAAAGCAGGAGCGTTATTTGTTCAATAATAGCATAAAAGTAGCCTTAATCAAATGCAATAAACATTTTCAGTACAATTCGCCGTAAATACAAAAGAAAATACTTCAAATTTCTTATGTTTTCACTCCAGGTTGACAAAATTTCCCGAGAAAATAAGAATCATTGCTCCTCATCAAAACTATTCATGCCAAACTGAAAATGCTCTAAAAACAGGATTCGCCACTTCATGGAAGTCTCCTGAGAACGTTTATCGTGAAGATAGGTCTGCTATAAACGCTTCATTATTCCACGTATTTGAACGACAGCTTAACGCACGGGTTGCTCTTAGAACGACAATCAGAATTTTAAGAAACAAATACCAGAATAATTCCCTAAATCGATACCAGTTAAAAATCCAACCGAAAATTCCGCGGCTGCACAAGCGTTTAGAAGTGAAAGAACCACCGTCGCTCCAGGCGATTCTCTTCGACTACAAGCAAAACAAGTCAAGATCGTCGCATGTAATAAATTTTCCTGGCAATAAAAATATTGATGAAAGAAAGTACAATAAATTAGCTGAAAAATTAGATTGGGAAGAGATGCAAAAGAACAAAATTGATCGACTAAGAAAAATTTGCAAGAAAACCACTGATAACTACCACCATCCCACGCTGGACGAATTAAGTAATCGGAGAGAAAAGCTGCGGAATATCCTCGTTGACGATCGACACAAGCTGCTCTACTGCTACGTTCCGAAAGTAATATTAGACTAATTTTCTTCCTAAAATATTCAAATGTGCAAGCAAGTAATATGTTGTAATTTCTAATTTCAATAATTGTACTGGGATTGTATTGTTGCTAATTGATTTTCTCTGATTAGTATTGTAGTTTTTAATTATTTTGATGGCATTGAAGTTGTTAAAATGGAAACATTTAATTTTATTGTATGACAAGTAATATTTTGTAATTTGTAATTTAAATTTTCTATGATTATTTTGTTGTCAGATGATTCTCTCTGATTATTATTGAAATTTTATTTTTTAATGACATTTAAGTTATTTGAAGTGGAAATTACTACGTTCAAGGTGGCCTGTAGCCAGATTAAGCGAGTTATCCTGAAGTCTAGCGGGCTCACATCGAAGGATCACTTGAAGATTCCTCAGCGTCGAGTGCACCACTTGTCATACATGCTCGCTCTCAGCAATCCATTTTATACAGTAAGTCTTTGATATTCTTTTTGAGTGCAATGATATCATGAGAAATATAATGATAGTGTAAAAATAATTAAAATTTTGAATTTAAATATAAAATGGTTGTAGTGATCAAATTGATTACAGTGACTTTTATTTTATACCCAACTGAATTCCATATGATTGGGTGTTGTGGTCGAAAATACTGCATTAGATTTTGACAATTTTAATAGAGTAAACTTTGACATATTGTTACATGTGCAAGAATAACGTGTGCCAAACATCATTCAGCTGTTCATCATTCATTCTGTACAGAACAATAGCTTCTCGAAACTTTATGAATGAAGAGACCTTTAATTGAGCCCAGCATGATAATGCTAAATGAAGCAATTAATCATATTATTGTGTACTATTTTTTATGACTTAAAAGTGGATTGCTCTCTTATATAGTATTATAAATATACATTGTATTATTATTATTCTATATTATTAACAGTTCAGATTGTTTATTCTCGCATGGTTCATAATTTTTTCCCCAATATTTTTGATCACATGCTGTATATTTTTTCCCAAGCGTGAAGAAGTGAAGCGGCGACTGACAACATACAAAACCGTTATTTTTTCACGCCATCCCATGGAACGGATCTTATCTGCTTACAGGGACAAGTTCGAAGCCAACTCCAACGAGGCTCAAGTTTTTTCAAGAATTTACGGCCCATTAATGCTAAATTTTATTAATAAAACAGCAACGTATCTGGAAAAATCGATGAAAATGTCCATAGCTTTCAGCGTAAGTTGAAGATCTCTCGTTTCTTTGCATCATTTTATTCATATGGATTGCAAGAAGGAATATAGCGAAATTACGTTGGCCTGACCGCATATTATCACACGTATACTTGTGTCTGATGCAAATGATTAACTTCCATAGAACATAATTTGTATGTTTTGTATAATAATACGTAATTCAATAATTTTTAGTTTTTCATCGAGCGTCATGAATTCAAATTTCCACGTATAACGGTATAAAATGAAGAATATTGACAGAATTCACTCTATCTCCATTTAAATTTTACACTGGATCTGCAGATACATGAAACTGAGTATCCGGCATATAACCATAGGTTTATTTTTTCTGGCTATACAGCATTCAATCATAGGTTTATTTTGTCATTATCGTTGCTATCCCATCAATAAATAGCAGAAAACTCATTAATGGTCACACTTTCAGGACATGTTGGAGTATCTCAGCATCAGCCCACCGGAGAATGACCAAGAGCATTGGAAGCCGCTCTACCATATCTGCCACCCATGCACCATAGACTACCAGTACATCGGAGAGTTCAACTCATTAGCACAGGACGGCAAGGAAATTTTTAACAGGGTTTTAGGATCAGATAATGTTGAATTTCCTTCAGTTATTCATTCGGCGACCTCGGAGTTGATACCAAAGTATCTTGCTAATGTGTTGCCTGGTATCATTAGGAAATTTAGAGAAGTTTTCCGGTTGGATTATGAATTATTTGGATACTTGTGATAGCTTTATCAGACACATTTTGGTTCCAGTGAAATTAATAGAAAATGTTTATTCTTACTTATGAGTGTTTCATTAATTAAAGTAGTTCGTTATATTTTATATCATATTAAATTTAAATATTATATATTATATTAAATATACATATTTGTATTATAAATTTATATTATATTTAATAAATATATATGTATATTTATTATCCATATTTATATTACAATAAATTAAATAGTAAATTGTATTGAATTAAAAATGGATTGATTTGTTTGTACAATTTCCCACAATTCAATTTCAAGTTGTGAATAAGAGAAATAGATAGTTTAAACATTAATGTTCATTTCACTTTTCACGTTGTAATACTGTAAATGTCCGCTCATCATCCAAATTTAACTGTACGTTGTGAATAGTGTGCTAATTTTACGAAATTTTGCAAATATTTTTGATGAGGAATTGAATGAGGTTAAAATCAGCGGAGCCCGAATTTTGAATCTTCGACTGCGAAGTGTTTCATTTCAAGAGCTAATAGTGACTCTTCACTCGTGTTTTTCAAACGAAAGATGCAATGGTTTCCGAATTTCTAACAGTGCTCATATTGAAGCGAGAATTAATCCAGGGTTCACATAGTAACAAGCTTTTGAAACGTCAAGTCCGCTCGGCTGCTAAATTGATATTCGTGAAGTGCAGCCAGATGGCTGCCTATTCGAGCGATATTGATTTCTTATTACAGTCAGAAAATATTAAGCAACCCAATTACCGTTCTTATTGGAAATTTCAGCACCACCGGTCGACAGGAACTGAAACTTTGTTCTCTTTCGGTCCGTCAGGGAACTTCAAATGACGTGCATCGAGGAAATGACGAGGAGATGGCAGGGTAGGAATAAACCCTTATATAATTTGCAGGATATTATAGGAGTTCCTCGCACGGAAAATCCCAATGCTCCTGAATATCGTGTTAGCAATGAGGTTCTGAAGTTGGAATTTAAGTAGGAAAAGATTTTTGCGTAATGTGATTTCCACGTTCAAGATTATCGTTAAAGCTCATAGGCACCTCAATTTTTGACGTTCTTTTGATGGGAATTAGTCTGCTATTGAAAATTACGTAGCAATTACCTTCTGGATTCAGAAACAATTTCGTGGAGAGAAAGAGCACGGTAGCCCAATTCCTATCTAAACACCAATTTAATATCTATTACTGCCCAATTTTAGATTGTATGTTGATTCATTTTTTTCCTGGTGAGTAGAGATTCATGCGTAAATGTTTCTTCTTTTAATTCATGTCATCGGAAGTTTTACACACTCATTTTCTTCGAAAAAATATATGTTTAAGTTCATGAGCTTAGCTATTTTTAAGTGAATGCTTCAACTTGAGTTATGGTTTTTTTTTGCGGTCCATGAAACCATTTTTTTTTCCAAAATCCTAAATTCATAGAATTTTTTTGTTTATGCGTCTATTTATTAATTTAAAAAACGTAATCAAAGCAGGTTGATCAGAATATTCATTTAGACAGAAATTTGAGTTGTATATTGTATTAAAAATTTATTTATAGACATTTTTACTCATGATTTTAGCACAGCTCGCGCATTTTGCGATCGGATATCGTCATTTTTTATGGACTCTGCCGCGTTCGCTGACGCTAACCTCGGCGGACATCACAAGGAAAACGTACGACCTGAAAAATAACTAGAAAATATCGCCAGAATATATTATATTCCTTTTATAAACAATTTTTGAACACCTTAAGAGAATGCAAACATTTTATAAAAACGCTCGGGGTTTTGCTGAACTATTAAGCTTGAACTGCCCATACATACAGTCTCTTCATTCAGCAGAAGACCTTTTTAGGAATCATTTTAACGCTCAGTATGTCAATGAATTTATCCAGAATGATTACTAATTGATGAGAGTTTTGAACATTTTGCACAAGATCTTGAACAAAATTAATTCGTGGATGAAATAAGTACATCTGATGGAAATTTCACACTTAAGTTCATGAAAAATCAATTGATCACGATAAATTTTATGCATGAATAAGGTAACGGAAATGATACCTAATTTGACTAGTTGTTTCGAAGTTATTTATAATCATAGTATCATTTTTTATGAATAAAGATTCACAAGATTATTCTCAAATCCATATGGATGTTGATCAAACTTTGACAATTCGTAAGGTTTTCCGTTCAAACAATTTTGTATATAAAGTAATCAGGACGGCATCATTTTATCTTCCGACATTTAGTAGCCTCAGTTGTGCGTTCAGATACAACCGCGCAAAAAATGTAAAACGAAGTCAACCAAGTGTTAATTTCGAATTAAAATTCAAAAGTTCGCTCTGCCGAAATGTTCATATATAATACAATTAATAATTTCATCACTCTAATTCGAGTGCTGCACGTGAACAAACCCTACCCTAGAGAAAACCAAATAATTATGCAATAGCCTGACGACCCCCTAACTCAAAGTCATGATGAACTGTAATTTCTTGGCCAATTGCACATATTTCTCTCATAAAGTAATCACCAAATGTCCTAAGCAGACATTCATGCTACAAAACAGGCTGTACACCAGTACTTTCCTCATTTATTATCCTTATTTTTACAGAAAAAATACCAAGCCTGGACAAATGAAAGCGATGTTGCGAACGCCCCTCTGTCTTATTAGGAAGAACTCGTCCCTATGGAGCCCTAACTGACCTAAACATGGAGTTGTGAACGGCGGCGGCGAGGGCGCAATGCCGACGTGAGCTTCGGCCCTGGCGGGGACTCTTGGTCTATGGCACAATTTAAATCAGACAAACTGGACACCAACTTCAGCCACAAGGAAGTAAATGGCCTTTTTGGCCGTGTTGTAATAAAAGCCGTGATGGATATTTGGGGTGAAGTTTCTAAAAAAGGGGAATATTCGCATCGTGGTCAGAATAGTACAGACTCTATGTTACGAGAAGCTGCAGAATTTTGTAAGTAAAAATTACTTTTTCTACGTTCATGCTAGAAATTATTTAGTTTCGAAATTCTAGCACAATTTCAAGGGTAAAATTACGGGAGAATAATTGTCCCGGTTATTGGATACATAATATTAACTGTTTTGATTTCCCTATTTGGGACAGGTTTTAAATAATTTCAAGTATTACAGATGACTAGCATCACATTCGCTCTATCGAACCTCAAGGCACATGGAATTAAAAATGATAGAAAATTAGTTTGTCTGAAATATAATTCTTATTTGAAATTAATTTCCTCAGATAAATAAAGTGTTTACTAAATACACAAATAAACAGTGATAATATACATTAAGATCGTTAGGATCGTTATACGTTGAAAGTTCAATTGCAAAGTCGACTCCTTTTATTAAGCAAACTTAGCAACAATGTTTGCAAAGTTTAATCAGAAATTAAATTTAAATTACAGGTTAATTCTGAAGTGGAAAAAACTCGTAAAATTAGTGATTCCAGGCGTTAACAAGCAGCGTGGTCATGATCAGGCAGGTACTACTGAAGAGCATTTAGCTTTAGTGGCAGCAATCAAGTCGTTTATTGTGCGCACTGTGGAGCCTGCACTTGAGTTGGGAGCAGCGTTTACGATCGACCTAAAAGGTGCCGGCTATTGTTTGGTCAACTCGCTCGAGTTTCAAATGACCTCATCTGATTAAAATGGGAGGTAAAATGTTAAGCGCGGAGCACTTGTGGGTTCTTGCTGGCTTTACAAGGCAAATAGTATCATGCTGATTACACGAGAGATCCAAAACTTATATATGAGAGTTAAAAAAAGCAGACGAAATGCTTGAATATTAGGAAACTCTTTTCGAATAATCTATTGACAATAATTGTCATTCTATAATCTATCTGACCAATTAATAATATGCGTTTAAAAAGTAATTTTTAAAGACCACACTTCTAAAGAGGCCGCTGTTTCCGATGTTACGCGCGTACAATGAATTTCTTATTTTATTTTTAAATATTTAAGAATTTTTTTACATATGTTAATGTTATTTTTTTTATTTGTAAAATTATATATTCTGTCAATAGCTTTATGCATAGTCTCCGACTTTACGCAAGTGTGCAAAATTCCAGATCGATTGGAGAGGTACAAGTGTGTTGAATATCGATTGTAAGATTTTAAGCAGACAGACACACGCGCAAGAAGTGAAGTTAAAGAGAAGTGTGGTAATAAAAACTGCACACGTTTATTCAGAGCCGAGGAAGTTTGTGTTAAAATATTTTCCGGAGGGTAAAAATAAGCGCATAGAATACTTATTTTCTCAAATAAGCTGCATCAAATCAACGAATCAACCAATAATATATTTTAACAAATGATGCCACTGTGAAAAACCGTGTATAGTTATAAAAATTTGTACAACAGATGTTAAGATTCTCATAGATTTGAGGTTGTGAGGCACACGTCTCGCTCGTCATCGTGGAGGCCTTGTCTACATTAACTCGGACTCGGTGGGTCGCCAACTGTTCTTTGATAAGAGGATACACGAACTTCCAAGGAAAGTTTGTTTTGCAACTTCTGCTATGAGCTTTCAATGATAAATCGCATTAGCTGGCAGCTCTTCAGCAAGGGACGTCGAGCGTCGCAACCAAAATAAGACGGCGCACGAGTCTTATTTTGGCGTGCGGTCGGCACCGAGATCGATGGAAGGAAGCGTGAACGACAAAACTTTGATCGTTTCGGAACACAAACTTTGAATCATTCCTCGATAAATTTGCTGGTACGAAGAAACAACACGACAGATACCCAGTAAAGGGTGGAGTAATCGAGGTGTTCTTATTCCGACTCGAATTAATCGCTACTAGGAACTTAATTAATTAAGTGTCCTGTCATTGTTTGATGCTTAATTAATGAAGCAGGTGCGGTTTAGGAATGTTTATCTTACAATTTTGATTATTTAGACGATTTTAAGAATTTTTTTAGATTAATATGATCTTTTATCCACCATTGATTTCCTAAATGAGTAAAATAATCATTGATCATCGTTCCATTAAATTCTTTTTAATGATAAACGTGAAAAGTGACCAATTATTATATTATTAAGTTTGAATGAAAAAAGATAAACTGTTTGCAT